CGCATAAATGAAAAATACACAGAGAATCTAGTAATGTTTTGTCATTATTATTTTCAAACTATTATTTAGTTTATGATAAAATGAATCATTTCAGTACATATGATGGCACCCAATGGATTTTTGCTTATTTCAAATTTGTAGTTTTATCCATTTTGACAATGAATACAATTTTGTAACCAACAGTGCAATTAAGATATAGAATATTTCCATCACTCAATGAATACAATTTTGTAACCAACAGTGCAATTAAGATATAGAATATTTCCATCACTCCAGAAGATTCTCTGACTTTTTGCAGTCAATTCCGTTCCAGGCTCTTATCCTTGGTTACCACTGCTTGACTGCCTATCGCTATAGATTATTTCAAAGGACTTTGGAAACGCATATAAATGAAATCATATAATTGGTATTCTTTTGTATCTGGCTTCTTTTGTTCTATGCAATTTTCAATTCATCCACATCATATTTATTAGTATGTCATTCCTATTCACTTTAATTTCAACTGTCTGCCTCTACCAATATTTACTTGTCTGTTTACTTGTAGATGATCATTTGAATTGTTTCCAGTTTGGGGCTGTTAAAAATAACAAATACTTTAAACATTGATACACAAGTCTTTTAATGAACATATGCCTTTATTTCTCTTTGGAAAATACCCATGAGTGAAGTCGCTGGCTCATAATGATAAGCATATGTGTTATATTATAAGAACCTGCCAACCAAAGTTGTACAGTGCATTTGTACAACAGTCCCACCAATAATGAATGAAATTCCAGCTACCTTACAACCTTACCAATGCATGATAGTGTCAGTATTAGTAGGTCTGTAGTAATATTTTGTTCTGGTTTTAGTACGCATTTCTTAGATGATTAGTGTTGTTTAGCATCTTTGAACGTACTTATTGGCCACCATATATTATCTTTCATACAATGTTCAAATATTTTCTCCCATTTTACTGGATTGTTTGCCTAATTACTATTGGATCATAAACTTTCTTTACATATCATGGAGACAAGTGTCACATTGGCATTGTGAGCTACAAGAGAAACTAAGACAGCAATTTTCTAGCTTTTTATAGCCTTTGTGGTAGAAGAGAGATAAGGAATGAGGGACTGGTTATAGCAGTTGCATAAGCCTATCAGCATTGTTTCTCACAGCTATCTATCCATATTTACAACAGTTAACTGAAGTAGGTTTTATAATCTGACATTCAACAGCATCCATGACTTTGAGGGTGTGTGTATGTACACATGCAAATATAGATTTTATATGCAGTATATGGCATTAAGTCAACAACTAAAAAGAATAATGCCCTACTTACTTTCTGGTTAAAAGCAAAATGATCAAGATGTCACACAAGAAAACAAAAATGTTACCTTTCAACTATTTTTTAATAGTTATTAATGAGGAAAAGATTACATTTTTCCTGATTTGTTATATATGAGGTTCTCTGAAATTGAGAAAAATGCTGGTGGACATAAATCACAGATTTAACTCCTACTGAAGAGAAAGGTGACATTGTGTGGTTACAAATGCTGTGTCACATAAAAACACAAACAATGACTTAGAATCACACATTGCAAGAGACACCAAATAAAGGATTGTGAAGTAGGTGTGTTTAAAATAAAGGTTAGGACATACCAAAAGAAAAACAGAATGGGCAGGGTTTTCTATATAAAATGAGTACAAACATGTATACCACATTACTTCCAATTTGTCGTAGTGCATGCCTAAGTTATTTACACTCGTCTTAGTATTTTAGGTATCTATCTATTCAATAGTTATATGCAAAGAGAAAGAGTTGGAGAAATTTACAGAATACTTAGCATTTGGAACCGTGTGATGTCACTGTATTAATCAGCATTTTCAAGAGAAACAGAACCAATAGGGGGTGTGTGTATAGGAGAGCATGTATGTGGGTTTTTAGTTTGAAAACCTGGCAACCAGGAGACCAAGTTATTGTAATCTCCACTTTACCTCTCAAATGTGTTATTACCATTTTTCCCCACTGTGCTCATTGTCATCCCTCATTAAGTTCCTCTGCCTATTTCCATTTTTTATTAAGATAATGCTTGTCATCTCTTAAGATATTTGTTATTATATTGATATCACTAAAATGTCATGATTGAAAACTTTTATATAATAGCTACAGGGGATGCAATGTTAAATAAAATGTAGTTCCTTTTTGTTAATGACTCTGAATTTATTTTTCTCTCATCAAAGGTGATAGAGTCATTTCAAACATTTGCCATACAATAGTAAATTGAATACTAGTCATCTGTTACCTTACAAAACATAGATATAAAAGGTAATTAATATCAAAGGCCATTTAGTGTACATTATTCATCCTTTGGAGTGTCTACTCATGATAATTCTTCTTCTGTTATCATTAAGTATTTCTTTGTTTTATGATAAATCAGAAAAACAGAAAAAACTCTAAATCCAAAGCAAAGATGTGCTTGGTTGGAATTCTTTTACACACACACACACACACACACACACACACACACACACACACACTTAGGATCTGATTGCCTAGATGATTCAAATATTAGAAACAATTAAATTGCATTTAAAGAAACAGCTAGTTAAGAAATATTTCCTGGTTTCTTTAAAATAATAAGAGACAAGGAATAAACTTCAAATTTATAGCCCATGTCCTAGGAAAAGGTAAAGTAAATCCTATGCAAAGATAGCCCATGTAAATACCCATTCATGGAGTTAAGAAATAGCTCTGTTACTTGTAAGAGATGAAGGTTTGCAAAAGGCAGATGATAATGTAGGCCTTAACTCCTGTTAGGTTCCTGGAAGTTTGTTAAATGAAAAAAGAGTCAAAGCATATTCTATGTAGAATAATAAATGAATGAACATAGAGCGAAGATGTTTTAAAGATTGTACTATGCCTCACATAGCCAAGTAGCTGGAAAGGTGGTGGAGACAACTTGAGAAGGCTTTTGTATTCCCAGAAGAGTGTTCTGAACTTTGTTCTCCTTTGGCCTATGTGGGAGAGAGATGGGTTGCTCTGCCTTTATGCTAGATGACTCTAGCACTGATATGGAAGATCAGAAACTGTGGTAATTTTGTTATAGCCTAGATAAAAGAATGGCCTTCAATATTGTTTTACAAAAAGTTTGAATAAGGAAAAAAATTATAAAGTGATTGAAAGAGGTTTGATATAATTGTGTGACAACCTAGAAGAACAATAAAGCAACAGAATCTAGGATTGGCATGAAGGTTCTATCTTGAATTTGAAGTGAATTTAACTGAAATAGACAATGCAAAAGTAAAAAATTGTGATTTGTTGGAGCAAAAGATAAAAGTACATGAATTTAATGAGTTGTAAACCTCAGGGTCATGTATTTTCCCAGACTCTTTCTAAGAAATTTGGTGTTGTTTCTAGCAGCATTATGCTCACAGGATTTCATTTTTATATTTTTTCTTTTTGTAAAATTTACTTGAGTTATTTTAAACCAAATTAGTTGTGACTGATCATGCTTTCCACAGAAACTTCTTTGTCACTCTTCCTTTTTTGCTGGCTTGTATTGAAAAGTCTAGAGAATGATTAGGGTCTGACTGAAGGGACTGTGAGTTGAGGATGCAATTTGTTTTTTTTGAAATTTGTCACTTCCATATTCAGCTAAACTTGTTGCTAACCCTTTTTATGTTGGAATGTATTCTAGAAGTACATCTATTCACTATGTGCCAATCTGCCACATGTGACCCAAAGTCTGAGGACCAGAGGCTGTTCTATATTTACATATTTTTTGTTATTTGGCACCAACAGTATGTGGTCATGGAAAAGTAACAGGATTTGCTATATATGGAACCAGAGGCTAATCTGTGAAAAAAATCTTCAGATGCATAAAATTGCAAATGAGGGATTTAGCTTTTATTGAAGTCCAATTAAAATATATCACCTTACCTGTCAGGAATATATTCAATGCTATATCACAAAAATTGTAAATATGCTCTATTTTCAAAAGTTTTCTTTTATGATGGTTAAATATAGAATTTGAAAGCATTTTCAAGCCACAAAACTGTGGCAGTCCTAGAGGATAGAGGATTCTTACAGTCTGTGTGTGAAAAAAAAAATGATAGAAATTTTCCAAAATTTGATCCAATTCCTAAGAATTAAGTATACCCAAATTGCTAGGAGATTAGTTCTATATATAATGCCAGAACTGGTACTTCTGCACACCTCTGTTGTTGGCTGGGAGCAAGCCAGAAGAAGCATGATCAGATTATAAGGAAAATTGTAAATTAGAGGAGGGAATTGGTGTTATCAATCAACTATGTTCCTCAAATTAGTAGGCATTTTCGGCACATCTTTATAGATACCACTTTCTATAACATAAACTTCAAAGTCTCCTTTTCCACGTGGGTTTGAGGAATAGCTCCTCTGTTTTTCCCATGACCTCTTTACTGAGTGAAAACTTAAAGTAGGTGGACTAATGGGTAGAGCTACAGATCAGAGTAATGTAGTTGGCACTGGGTACCAACTCTTTCTCCTACACTATGCATCCGAAATTTTGTTCACCCTCAGTTGTCACCTGGTGATGTGGTCCAAACCAACATTCCTGGGGAGTTTGAGGAAAATCATACCATCTCAGGCTGGAGATGCTGCGCTTGTCTATGTACAGGTGTAATGGGCCAGTGGGTACCAGCAAGTACCTCAATGGATCGACAGGGCTCCACATAGATTCTTCTCTGCACCCAATGTGTAAATGTCATCCTTGCTATGTGCCCTTGAGAAAGCTTGTCCCTTTGGACACAAAACTTCAACCTTGCAGAGTGCAGAGTGGTGAATATTGGCATTCCACCACAGATTTCCTCCCAAGGGTTCATGGGGACTGATGGTAAGGAAGCTATCTATGCTTCCAGCCCTTCATTCCTGGACCCAGTATATTATTATTACTGAGGACACGGCACCATGCAAAGATCCCTGATTTAATGAATATACAGTATCTTAAATGATGCAACTTTTTTTTTTTTTTTCTCAGAGTACTGCCTTCAAGCTCTCACTTCAGCTACTCAAGCCATCCTGGGATTCTTGTAGTTGCCAACTTCTTGATGATACAGTGGTATGACATGTCTCACTCCCTCACGTCCTTAACTTTGAGGTGAGTATCCTTAGTCATGTTCTATGTCTGTGTCTGTGAATTAGCTATTCTATAAGCACTCAGAAGATGGTGTTGTCTGAGGTTCTAAGGGCAGGTATACAAACCTATATTTAGGTACTTAAACCTATACTTCTCTATCCCTACAATTTGCCAGCAAATTACAGGAAGAGGCACAATATAGACAATTTGCCAGCAAGTTACAGGTTGGTCTTTTCAATGATGAGTTTTATATCAGGGTCTCACACTACTGCTAAAAATTTGTTGTCTTTGGTAAGTTAAAGTCCATGCTATTCTATGTATACCCTTTGCCTCTGCCCATATGACCACTCTGTTCATATGCTTATGACAATTTTGAAGCACTTTCTTTTTTGTGATAGTGGATACTGCATTATTGATTTGTTTTTCCCTTGGCATGCTCTTGAATACTGGACCCTTAAAATTTCATTGAACTGGCATGTTTCCCATATTTTTTTTTTAATTTTAACATGTGTCTACCACATGTTAGGTGTCTCACCAAGGGCCCTGGTGTACTAGTCACTTCATGTGTGATATATCACATGATGTCATCAATATAACAGTCCTGGGTAATGTTGCATGAGCTATCTAGTTTATACAAAAATATCTTCAGACTATATCATAATAGAAGGAACAATATTTAGCATAGTCCCCAGGCAAAGCAACAAATATCTATTATTTTCTACTCTATACGAATAAAAAGTATTTCTGGTTTTCTTTTGTAAATGGAATAGGAAATAATGTATCCAGCAAACCAATCACCATGGTCTGTGTATCTGTGTATTCCACTTCATTAGTAATAATCTCTAGCCATGAAACTACCACTGGCAGAACGGATACAATCAACACTCCTATTCAACTGAATTTTTTGTAATCTGTAATGATTTCCCAGGATCCATTCTATTTCTGCAAGGGACAGAATACCAAGTTAAACAGCCACATAATAGTAGCCACTGATCCTACATAGTTTAAGTCTGTAAAGCAGCAATTTCTTCTATAACCCTCCCACCTCCCAGCATGTGATACTGGTTTTTATTTTTCTCAGCGGTTTCCACTTGGTCTTTCCAATTGTAAAGCTTATTCCCAAAGGTCAAGGAAACAATGTGGTGGCTGCTCCAATTGGCAGGTGTATCAAGTGTGTCAATTCCAATTAAAACCTCAGGGACTCAGAAATGATCATGAAATGAGTCCATGGGACAGATGGGCCTACTGTGAGCTGGGTTGTATCCAGAAATCTATTTATTATTTGGTCCCTATAAGTGCTCACACTAACAAACAAGTCATGATGGTAATTTGGATCTTGATGCAGTGTCTACTCAATATGTCTGGGTATTTATCTCTCCTTAGAGAATAAATTTACCCAATAATCATAGATATCTTTGGAGAAGGATTGGAGGAATCAGTACTTTGTGTGGTTACTCTGGTGCTACAGGGTCTTTTTATCCTTGGTACCATCTCAATAAACATGTTTCAGATCTAAACATGGTTTCAAATTTGGGAAGTGATCAAAGGATTATATTTTATTGGGGTGACTGCACTCAGAATCCTTCTCTTTTGTTTCTTGGTTATAGCTCTTAAGTAACAACCTTGTTCTCTGTCTGTCTGTTTAGCTCTCAGGGACAACAATATGTTAACTATAAATGAAAATTCCTTTATACTCAGTTCCCTTAGAGTTTTCCTCTGAATTTGCCATTCACTCTGATCATTCTGACCTTTTGGCTTTGGTAGTTAGTTTCTCCCATATGGTCTCTATTATTTCAGGACTGTGTTACACCCATGGATATAAAGGAACTCAGCTCTGTGGCCCCTTGCAGTGGCTGTGTGCACTGCTTGCCTTACTGGCTCATTTCCATGGCCTTTTTGAGTGGTGTGTTCTCACAGAACATATTCTCTACTGGGTCTTCTGCCATGACATAATATGTTTACTATAGAACATACGATTTCCCTGATTCTTCTTGTACATCTTCTCAGGCAAATCAGGCATCTACTTTGCTCAGCATTCGACCACCTTTTTTTTTTTTTTTTTTTTTTTTTTAACAAGTAGCTTCTAAATCATGCTTCATTCCATAAGACCTTTGTTAACCCCCTGGTCTATAAGATAGATGTGAAGTATTATACTTCTGCTATATTCTATTAATTCTTCCTGTAAGTTGAAAAAGATAGACCTGGATATTAATAAATGTGCAGACTTTAAAAAGATTCAGAGAGTATGAAGAACTTTGTAAGAAAGGAAAGATTATGGACAGAAAAAATGGCATTGGTAAGTTGATCCAATTGTCTACAGTGTGAAGTGCAAAGAAACAGAAAATTGAAGAGATAGTTTTAGGGTCAGAGTTCAGATGAACACAAGCAGCAGATAAAAGAATGGAATAAATATGTACCAAAAGTGTCATCCTGAGGAGATGTGTCTGATGGCTCTGTAAAAGATAAAACTTTGGAATCTGGAAACTACCCTTCTGCAAAGTGGTAAGAGTAGAGAAGCAAGGGTAGAATGGGAGGAGAAACCAATTCACAATCACTCCATTGAACAGTTAACACCTGTGAGCATCAGGTATTACTAGTATTGTGCTGAAAAATGATTAGCTCCTACTTCTTCAGGGGAAAAACAGTAAAAAAAAAAAATGATTTATTACATAGCCGAGTATGTAAATATTCATACAAGGGATGATATAAAAACTACCAATGTGCTAAAAAATGTTTGGGTCTCTGATCTGATAGACGACTCCTCTAGCACTTTATTACTAAAACTTTAAAATGACTAACATTAACAAGTCTACCAAGAAACACATAGAAAATTTAAATCCTCTCAAATATTCTTATTTTAAAAAGAATATAGAAAGAATACAGTTAATAATTTAGGACTCTGAGGATGATTTTCAGATATTGGATAAACATAGAAGGTCCTAATGTATGTTTTTTGAACTTCCTAAACTTTGGAAAACAACCATTGTGGCATTATAAAATTTCTGTTTCTTATGTTATTATAATCCCCAATAAAAATAATCTTTTCTGTACAAATTAGTACTTCTATTTTAATTTTTGAAACTGTTTTCCCTCCATATGACTGAACCTAACAATCTAGTAACTTTGTCTTATGGCGCATGACAAACCTAATCATCTAGAAAATGAAAATCCAAATTGTATGTCCTTATAAGTCTTGTTTCATACAGGCAGAACAACACATAATTCAATATAACATCTGTTCTTACATACACAACTTCAAACTTTTGAACTACTTAAGAGTTAGAAAAATGAATTCTGTGAAACTACCTAATTCTGAAAATTTTATTTCTAAATTTTTGCTGATTATATGTTTTGAATTTTATCTTTCAAAAAATGACTTTCATTAGACTTGAATAAATGGTCCCTATTTTAAATAAATTTTAAATGATACTGTTGTGCTTTAAATACAATATTATCTAAAATTTGAAAGATTATAAAATAACTGAGAGGCTAAGCATTTATAGCAAACCAAAATACATGTATATTCTGATATAGAAGAAAACATCACATTAATTAAATAATTGCAGATATTTTTAGTTACATTCTAAAGAATTTATCCTGAAAATAAGTGAACTATATTAACTAAATGTGTTACAATATTAATATATTAGCTTAATCTATATTATATTATATTATATTATATTATATTATATTATATTATATTATATTATATTATATTATATTATATTATATTATATCAAAACATTTGTTATACTATAGTACACTTTTATACTAATAGAACCAAAGATATTTATAAAAATTTGATATAAAGCATATATACATATATTACAGCAGTGTAATTGGTAAAAATATTCCTCATTAAAGATTCAGAGATTTCTTTTTGTAACAATAGTTATAATAATAGCTAATTAGAAATTCATCTGAAATCTGATCAATTATAAGGTTAAACAAGAGAGTATTATGATTTCATGGTACGATCTTATTAAATAATCAATTAAATTTTATTGCAATGGCAAAAAAATCAAGCTGGTTATTTTAACCTCAGTCATTTATCTACTAGCTGACACATCTGAGAGTGAGGATTATAAAAAATGCTGGCACAAGAATGTTGCAACTCTTTGTTCCACTGTGCTTTTGGCCATCCTGTATGTCCTCTCCAAGGTAGAGTAATGTGAGTTTATGTCTGACAAAATCTGTAGGTCAATTATGTAAAAAAAAAAAAAAAAAAGGAAAAAGAAACTAAGTAATTTTCTGTAGAAATAATTCTCAGAAACCTCAGAACAAGGTTAAGGTCCTCTTGCATTTGAAGATCTTACAACATATTCAGGACTACTTACTGTAAACTGAATTAACACAAAATCTGTTCTTACATATCACTCAGATTTTATACATGAAGAGAAAGACTAATTGAGAGATAGAGCTGTTTATTTCACTCAAGGGGAATTCCCTCCTCCACTCTTTTCCCCAGACCTTGATGCTTTTAGAATCACTTGGTACATTACCAATATGTATTACTATATAGATCACTAGCATGACAGAGCATGGGAAATTTTGAAACTTTATCATTGCTGAGACCAAAGTCAAGGAGCTTTAACTCTATATTCTCTTCTAGAGATTTATGGCTTCAGGCCTTATACTTAAGTTTTTAATCTTACATTTTGAATTAATATTTGTGATTGGTGTAGGTCCAATTTCATTATTTTGCATGTGGATATCTAGTTTTCCCAAAACCATTTATTCAAATTTTTCCTTTCCCTATTGTGTTGTGTTCTTGTCTCCCTTGCCAAAGTGTAGTGTATATATATATATATATATATATATATATATAGAGAGAGAGAGAGAGAGAGAGAGAGAGAGAGAGTAGTGTATATATATATATATATATATATATATACTGTGTTTGTGTTTATGTCAAGACCATTGTGATATGTGATCACTACAGTTTTGTCATATATTTTAAAATCATGAGTGTGATGTTTCAAGCTTTGTTCTTACTTTTCATGATTGCTTTTACTGTTTGG